TTTATTAACATTATTTTTTAGTTGCCTGTTTGTATCCTAATGAGAGAAAGAAAGAAAAGATGAGGATTCATTTGGGTGGGGAATTGGGGAGGATCTATGATGAGGGGAAATTATAATCAGAATATATTGTATTAAAATTTTATTTTCAGTTTAAAAAAATCAAGATTACCCCAAAACAAAGAGATAGAAATGCATTTCTCAGTCTTATATCTTTATATTCATTTAAAACAATGGCCTATTTTTACTGTTCTAGATTTAATGAAGAATAGACTATTACAGTTAATTTCCCCAAGTACTCAGGAAAAAAAAAAAAAACACTTGATGAAAAGCACAGCAGCACAAAGTGTGTGTCAGGACAGGCACAGTGAGAATCTAATGGGAGCCATAAGCCAAAGTGACCCTTGACACACATGCTGCCTTACTTGGGCTTCTCTCCTCTTTTCCTAGATCTAGGTCTTGCTTAAGTCTCCATTGCACTGAACCTCTTCTCAGAAATCAGGTAACCGAGCTGCAGTTAGGCAGTTAGGCAAGAATAGATAGATAATCCCCATAGCAACATTCCCTGCTGACTGAACAACCCATGATTAAAGTCCCCTCCCTGATTTCACCCCCCCTTTGCCCCCGCCTATATCTGCCTTAAGAGGAAAATAAAATTTTGGAGCTTGATCAGACATCCTGTCTTGTTCTCATCTTTGTGTCTCTTGTCCCTCTCATTTGCCGGCCCTCCCTTCAGGTCCCCATTGAAGACACTGCTGGCCAGGGCAAGAATCCATTCCCAGTATTTATAGTTGCCGAAAAGTTGGAAAGAAATAATTAATTAACCTTAACAGGACAACTTTCCCCTCAGCTTGTGCTCTCTTTTGCTCTGTATTTTTGAATTCTGTTTTGGGGAAGCTTCCTTAAACCAGGCTGTTGATGAGACTCACCTGGGAGCATTTGCCCATGCAATGTTTGGGTTTTCTCTTAACTATGAATTCAGTGCTTTGACAGCATGACAATGTCTTTACCACTGTGAGAACATTTGTATTATTCTACCACATATTTATTTTTAACAAATTGATAACTGATGCCCATGTCTAAATGTCATTGTCAACCCCTTTTTTCTCATTTATTCTCTTTTCCTCTTACAATTAGTTCATTTGGAAAGATTTATGTATCTTTCCTTTTCTAAAATAAGTGAACACTTTCATTCTTTTAATAATTATAAGTTCATGAGGACAAATTGTTCCTCTGTTCTCTGGCCAAGAAAAGATCTACTGAGAAGGATTTGCTAGGCTTCACTCATGACCTGCTTTACAACCTCCAGGAAGAATGAAGGATGCCTTCGTGTCTTATCTTCCCTTGCAATCCTCTTAGTCCATAGAACTCATCGATCATATATAAAATGGGGTCTTCACTGGAAGGCTTTGAGTGAGGAAATCGAGGTGAACTTTTGAAGGAACAAAACAGCCACAGTCTCTGAACTGTTGTCCTTAACCCAAATATCTCTCTGTGTGAGGTAGGTCAAGTGGGGCTCCCAGTGAGACATCCTTGTGTGTGGTCTTCTCAGGATTAGTAACCTTCCTAAAATACTGATACTGGAGGCTTTTTTAAAATACAGATTTAAATGTCTCCCTTGCCTCCCCTGCTCTCTCTTTCTCAGACACACACACACACACACACACACACACACACACACACACACACACACACACTTGCAGATATCCTATGTTAGTATTTTTCCACTTCTTTGTTCTGTCTGTCTCTGTCTCTTTGTCTGTCTCTGTCTCTATTTTTAATCTCTGGGTGGTCTTCTGTGATTATATTTTATGACCTTGTTAAATGATATTTTAGAAACAGATAAAAGTGAATATTCTCTTAATTAGTGGATGGGTGGATGGGACTGTTTCCTCAAAATCAAGAAACTCTGCCAGACTGATCCCTGGTTGTTTTTATTTACTGTTCAAGGTATCGTGTTTACCTACACCAAAGATTTCTTGTGTATCTTTCATAAAATGTTGGTCTTCTCAAGAGTTATGTGTCTTCTTCTTTTTTCTGGTGAGTACATTTTCCTGTCCTGGATCAGAACCTTAGGCATGTTCTAGAAATTTCAGGGAGGTACATCTCTGAAATACCACAAAAGAATGAATGAGTTTGATTTAATTGTGTTGCAGTCCTTAAATGGACTTGTTATAAATATCTCTAAAATTACAGTGGTGGATTGCTTTTTCTAACTAGTCCACACTGGAGAAGGCTACAGAGAGCAGAGGATTAGAACAGGCTGTGTAGACACCCAGTCTCTGCTAATTTGTACTCCAGATTGCTAACTAAATTCTATTGGTAAATGCAAAGTCAAGGAAAGAATAATGTCTTTAAATATGCTATTCTTTGGAAATCCAATTTGTTTGACAGCCTTAGAACCTCCAAGTCAAGGCCTTCATTAGGGTGTCTTTTATCCTCAGTCTAGATCAAGACTGGCTATGAACTTCAAAGTGAGGATTTGTGAAACGTTACCTAGAACCTTGAAATTACAGCTGGTTTTTTGTTTCCAACTTATGTGAATACAGGGAAGACATTTTGAACTCTGATTTCAGGGTATTTCACTTAAAAATTATGTAATGTTAATAAACCAGATCTATTAACAAATGGAACATAATACTTTTGTACAGGAGCATAGTATATAGTATTACTTTTCACAGATCTGTATATATTTGGAAATTACAATTATTGAGATTTGCATGTATTTTTAGTTAATGTTTTACCACTGACACAAAATTCTGATTTATTACTTACAGGTGTACTCAATTTACATCAATGTCTGCTACATTTAGATGTAGGTACTTCTCACCATGAACAAGGTGGACAATGTTGTTTTCTGTTTTTTTATCTGTCTTCTCTGTTCTCTTTTCAGAATGTTTCTTCATAATATCAGCATTTACCAGGAAATATGTAAGTTACTTTTATTTTCTATGGAAATTTAAAATGTAAAGCTTTCTTTTTTATAAATGAAGCAATATAATGTAAAATTTACTAAAGAAAATAAACTCTTCAAACACTAAAAAATGGTATATTTCATTGCAAGAAGTCCAAAACATCAATCCAGAAATATAAGGCAACTTATTATTGATACAAGATACAACAATGAGTGTCTTAATACTAAATTCCAGCCATTGGCAATTAGATGTTTAATTCAATATGTATATAGGCAGTGGGGGACAGCTCAGTGGTTAACTTACCATTAAAAATGATGACTTCCATATACTAACATGGTATAATGTTACATTTGAAAATAAATGTTAAATTTGAAAATAAATGAATTGTAACTAAATATCATTATATCTGTATGCCTGTGACATTAATGTGTCACAAGAATATGTAAGAAGTAAGTCACATGCATATAATATATGTAGTATTGCTGTCTATGTATAAATTAACAAAGTATCTAAAATTTCAAAGGTGTGTTTATAAACATGCACATAAATGTGATGTATTGATATGTAAATATACAGTAAATACATTCATTGAATTGCAGAGAATTTACAGAGGAATAAGAGAACAATCAATAAAAAATTCAACCTAGCCGGGCGTTGGTGGCGCACGCCTTTAATCCCAGTACTCGGGAGGCAGAGCCAGGCGGATCTCTGTGAGTTTGAGGCCAGCCTGGGCTACCAAGTGAGCTCCAGGAAAGGCGCAAAGCTACACAGAGAAACCCTGTCTCGAAAAACCAAAAAAAAAAAAAAAATTCAACCTAGTAATGGGGGTGATGAACAGAATGTTGTCTGGTGAGGAATCATATAATTATAATGTGAGTTGGCTGCTTTACAAGATCATGTTATACCAGCTGTGTGCTGTTCTTATAAGTAGAGGTTTACAAACTAAAAATATGATAATTATGTTCATGTTTTATATGTGTTGTAAGTCCTTTACATCTATGTGTAGATCATACTTAAACTCTTTTGTATAACATTAAATACTAAGAGTGAAGAACATTTTATTCAATACCCTTCATCTAATACATTTCTGTTATCTTTGTATGTTTTTCAGTCAGTATGTGGAATATATAGTCCTCATGGATATTGTACCAGAGAGTATTTACCAGTCTGTGGGACCGATGGCTATACTTATGGCAACAGATGCATGTTCTGTATTGCACACAGGTAAGAATACTATAATAAATACAAATTCTTTCTAAATAATGAATACTTAGTAGCGAAATCTTAGGTTTGTGTTATTGGTGTTCCATGCCCATAATACACAGAAAAATATGACCTTACCAAACCAATGTGCTATGAAAGACAAAGAAACATATGCACTTCCCTTTAATATTGTGAGTTCTGGTAGTGGCTTTTGCATTTGGGACTTATGAATATAGTTGTGTTGAACATGGTGCAAACAAAGGAATCAGTTTACTTAATTATTGGGAAATACTAATTGCAGATGTGTAAACATTATGAGATAATACCAAATCGCTGATGCTCAATGTGTCTCTGCTATAGTCTGCCATGTATCATGCTAGAAAGTGACTCCCTGAGAGGATGCTCTTATCCCTTGAGCTCCATGAAAGATTTTACATCACAAGACATCCTAGGATTCCTCCATCCAATATCTCTGTCCTTTCTGCTCTGTGATCAGATAGCTGTGTCTCATGTAGAAATATTTCTTCTGCTATTTTATATGTCATGGTCTCAATGGCTTTTCCACATAACAATCCTCTAATTGCCATGTCTTTCTCAAGGTCTCCTAACAATCCCTACTTCTTTTCTTTTATGAATCTGGGCAAGCTCCAAGACTAAGGCAAAGCTGAGACAGTAGAAAGGGCCCAGTACAGCCACAGTTGGATATGTGAGGATGCTGGGAGCAGTCAGGGTTTAGTTGCTCAAAGAAGGAGAAATTAATGTCCATAATTCAATCTTTCCCTTTTGAAAATTACATAATACACTGCTCAAAGAGTTTGATGTATTATTTTAATAATTTCTTTAAACTTTTTGACCTCTTTTATTTTTTCTTTATAGACGAAGCCGTGGTTCCATTAAATTTAAACATGATGGTGAATGTTGAGTTTTTGATGGAGCTACATCTTCCTATGGATCTTATTATGATCACAGTTTTGCACTGAAGTCTACAGTGGACTGGAGATTTTGCCATCAGGTTCTTAGAAGACTGGGTGAATCTGTGCGTAGGACACGGGTAGAAGGCTGGGCTGTCATTGCTCTTTTCACTTCTGGGATCCTGGGGTTTCAGTGTTTTACCCTCTATGGTCAACTACTTAATGACGCCCAAGAATCCAAAATTTTAGTATCTATATTCTGTAAACTGACAATTTAAAACAATCAATACCTTTGTTGTAGTTCTTAATAAAATCTTAAAGTACACTCTTTATCAAGTAAATCTTTTGTGGGATAGAAAGACAGCCCAGTGGTTAGCAATGCATGGTGATCTTGGAGAGAACTCAAGTTTGGTTTCCTGCCCCCATGTTGTGTAACTTATAACTTCCATCTCTTGGGGGGATCTCATACCATCTTCTGTTCACTCTAGAACCTTCACAAACATATTATACATGCACACACACATATAAATAAAAATAAATCTTTTAAAAACAATGCTCTCTGCTTCTTTGGATAATGAGGTAACCCAAACACATACTCTTGACAAATACATATGACAATCTTGGAAGTAAAGTGCTAATTTTTATTTTTTATTTTTTTCTCCTTTTTTTAAATTAAGAGATTTTCTATTTATATATATATATATATATATATATATATATATATATATATATATATATATCACAGATTCCCCTGTCCTTCCTCCTCCCCCTCCCCAGCCCTCCCTCACAATCCAACCCCCCACTCACACCTCCACTGAAGGTCTCCTATTGGGGAGTCAGCAGAGCCTGACACACTCATTCAAGGCAGGTCGAAGCCCCTCCTCCCTGCACCAAGGGTGTGCCAAGTGTCTCACCATAGGCACCAGGTTCCAAAAGCCAGCTCATACACTAGGGACCGGTCATGCTCCCACTGCCTGTGGGCCCCCTAAACACTTCAGGCTAGACAGCTATCTCACTTATCCAGAGGGCCTAGTCCAGTACCATGGGGCCTCCTGAGCTATTGGTCTACAGTTCCTGTGTTTCCATTAGTTTGGCTAGTTGTCTCTGCACTTTTTTCCAATCATGGTCTCGATATCTCTCACTCATAGAATCTCTCTTCTTTTCCATCTATTGGACTCCTGGAGCTCTGCCTGGGATCTGGCCATGAATCTCTGCATCTGCTTCCATCAGTCACTGGATCAGGGTTCTATCATGACAGTCAGGGTATTCAGCCATCTGATCACCAGAGCAGGTCAGCTCAGGCACCCTCTTGACCATTGCCACTAGTCTATGGTGGAGTCATCTTTATGGATTCCCAGTGTCCTCCATAGCACTCTGTCTTTCCCAATTCCCATGGTGTCTTCACTCATCATGGAATCTCTTTCCTTGCTCTCCCATTCCAACGCTGATCCAGCTCAAACCTCCCACTCCCCTAAGCTTTCTTTCCCTGAACCCTTTCCCTCCATTACCCCCCTCACCCCCAGTGGGCTCCTGCAGCTCTCATTCATTTCTCCATCACTGGTTGATCCCTGCGTCCCTCCCAGGGTCCTCCTTACCAGCCAGGCTCCCTGGAGCTGTGGGTTGCAGGCTGGTTATCCCTTGATCCACATCTAGTATCCACTTATGAGTGAGTACATACCATGTTTGTCTTTCTGAGTCTGGGTTACCTCACTCAGGATGATATTTTCTAGTTCCATCCATTTGCCTGAAAAATTAAATGATGTCATTGTTGTTGTTGTTTTTTAACTGCTGAGTAGTCCTCTATTGGGGAAAATTATAAAGGCCACTCCACGTAGTTAAAAGGAAGATTTATTTAGTGGATGACTTACAAATGAAGGAATGGATAGGTTGCGGGGGTCTGGGGAAGGTGTATCGCAATCCAGTGGTGTTCTCTGGAGCTCTGCACAGTCAATCTCCACCGTCCAGGGTCCAGGCGCAGAGAGAGCGCCCAGCGAGAGCGCTCGCCCATCCAGCTCTCGGGTTTCCAGCACCTCCCCTCGCCCCGCCTCGTAGGCGTGACAGTTGCCAGAGTCTCAATGGGGGTTGGAACTTCCAGATCCAAGCTGGAATGGCTACCCACTACAGTCCTCCATTGTGTATATGTACCATATTTTCTTAATCCATTTTCTGGTTGAGGGGCATCTAGATGTTTTGAGGATCTGACTATTATGAATAATGCTGCTATGAACATAGTTGAGCATGTACCCTTGAGGTATGGTTGAGAATTCCTTGTGTATATGCTCAAGAGCGGTATAGCTGGGTCTTGAGGAAGATTGATTCCCAATTTTCTGAGAAGTCACCATAATGATTTCCAAAGTGGCTGTATAAGTTTATTATGTTTAGGAATGTTCCTTGAATTCCTGATCTCGCCAAGACCTTTATCATGAAGGGGTGTTGGATACTGTCAAATGGTTTTTCATCATCTAATGAGATAATCATGCGGTTTTTTTCTTTCAGTTTGTTTATGTGGTGTATTACGTTGACAGATTTTCCTATGCTGAACCATCCTTGCATCTCTGGGATGTAGCTTACTTGGTCATGTTGGATAATTTCTTTGATGTGTTCTTGGATTTGTTTTGCCATTATTTTATTGAGTATTTTTGCATCTTTGTGTGGTTTGGGTATCAGGGTAACTGTAGCCTCATAAAAAGTTTGGCAATGTTCCTACTGTGTCCATTGTGTGGAACACTTTGTAGAATATTGGTATTAGCTTTTCTTTGAAA